TGAGAGCATCAACTCACAAGAATAATATTGAATAACTCTGTGTAAAGAGTAAAATAAAATGGAAATCTGTGTGAACAGCTCATACCACCACTATTCCTATCATCATTATCATTGTTATATTGTGTTATTAACTTTATTTTTATAGCACTGAGATGAAATCAAATATCTGCATCATATAATCCCTTAGGAGCTGAACTAGGTAATTAGTCGTTATTACTATTATTATTACCATTATTATTAATAATATTAGTTTACATATGAAAACTAAGTGTCACAGTCGTTTAAGTATCATCATATATATATATATATATATATATATATATATATATATCGTGTAGAAAAGACTAAAAGATAGTTAGACCATTATTATTCAATAATAGCATATCTTATCAAATCTAAAGATTGAAAACAAACAAGACGAAAAAGGAAGAGAAAAAAGAACAGAAGAAGACGTTCAGATGACCATTGAAAGGGTGAAAGTGAGTGAGTGAGTGAGTGAGTGAGTGAGTGAGTGAGTGAGTGAGTGAGTGAGTGAGTGAGTGAGTGAGTGAGTGAGTGAGTGAAATTGAAATCACGAAAATGTCTGTATGTATACGCACGAATGTATACATGTGCGTATACACAGGTGTGTAAATATGACCTGCTGTCTCATAATAATAATAGTAATAAGTGAGCAGATAAGATAAAAATTACCAGCAGATATACAAACACACAAAACAAACATAAGAAGAATCTTGAAAAAATACAGAACAGAGAAAAGTTTTGTTCTCTGAGCTGGATGGTTAATTTGCGAAGCTTTCATCACTCTACTGGGTGACTGGGAGAAAAGTAATAGTCAAAATTGTAAGCAATTATTTTCCTCGGACGATAACAGTACTGACTATGAGTCTCCTCAGTGGTGGAAATACCACCATTCACGAGTCTTGAATAGGACGAAACGTGCCTAGATCCCACTACTAGCTTAGTTACTATCAACCAACAAACATTTTCACCACTGTTTTGTAGCACATGATGTATTTTGATATAGTTGAGCCTTAGTACCTTAATGATGGTGTCTCTGACAACGACACTAGACCATGCGAGTTCAAATCTCTGAAGAGATATCAGTCCCTACTCGATCGCTAGTACACTACCTAATTGGCTACAAATGGTATCAAGCAGGAAAATCACGTCAAGGACTTGCTACCAATTCGAAGCAGACCATAGTGGGGAGTCACTCTGGCTTCGTGACAAGCATTCGAAGTTAATAAATGGAATTTAGTCGGCACCAACACAAATGACTAGAAAGATGCGATTGATTACTCCCCTAATCTATACAGACCTTAATCCGATCTTATCTAACAGCCTTCACAAAAAAAGCAGAGCAACCTTAACGTTATATTCATGAAAATCCAGATGATTATTAGGTTATATTATTATGCTTTTATTATTATTAATATTCCTATAATTATCATAATTAAGCATATCTCGATGTATGATTGACATCTTTGTTTAACTAATACTATATATAAATTCTACCTCTAGTATATAAGCTATACATTATCGTTAACAATAGTTCTAAAATAGATATTGCGTATTTTGTTATATGTATGTGTACACAACCCTGTACTTCACCTAACTGGTATACATACATACAATGCATACACTGAGAGTTAATGTTCATTTGCATGTGAAGTTTGAACTAGTCAAATGTAACAGCTAATCGCGTATACATACATGCAAACTTTCTTTATGGTTGTCAACTTTGAATGTTAAAAGTGGTGGTCTTGAAGAGGCTAACTGTTTGTTACCATACTTACCTATGTTCTATCTCCACTGTTAAGTAGTATAACAATATGGTGATGAATAATATTGAGGTTAGGAGTAAATTATTAAGTAGGGGGGGGAGGGGACAATCAATTAATGAGGTTGTCAAGCTGCATTGATTGAGATGGTGAAGACACCTACCAAGCTATCGTCTCCCATGTCGAAAACTGTTATCTGACATAAGATTGAGGAGAGGCCAAATCAAAATCTGGTACCAACCGATGAAGAAGTGTCTGAATGTCAGTTTGAGCCACCCATGTAGGGAGATGTATGCAGTCTGACTGGGTTCCTCAAGATACAAAGAACTTATTGGAGTGAGACTGTTGACAGTATGGCCACAAAATCGTTCCCAGTGGTGGAAATGCATTTACTCTTTATGAACTCTCAGACAATAAATCCTCATTATTCTTCATGGGATAATTATTCTTCCCTCACCTCAACCCCACCCCTGTTTATTACCGTTCCTTACAATTTCTTTATATTCTTCTTCTTTACTTTTATGTGTGCTAGAGGGAGTGTTGCGACTTGGACTCCTGTGTCCTTGTAGAAAGTTCTATGTTGACAACCTAATCAATCAGTCAGGCAGTCAGGAACCAAAACTATTTCCACCTACGTAGTTGTGAAAATCAACGGTCTAAATACCAGGATGCGCATTCCGTCCTATTTGGGACTCGTCAGTTGGATGTACCTGCATTTCTCAGTGAATGATGATGTTCCCACTGAGGCTCGAACCCAGTGCCCATAGTTTCAAAGCCGACATGTCAACCTGAGACCGAGCACTTCGGTCCAATCAATCGACGGGAAAATCCAAAATTCATTTAAATAATTAATATGACCCGTTGCACAAGAGGTGGCTCCCTTGGCGCAAGTGGTCCAGTGGATGAGGCTTTGAAACTATGGGCGCTGGGTTCGAGCCTCGGTGGAAACATCATGACTAACTGGGTAATGCAGGTTCATTCGGATGACGAGTCCCAAATAGGACAATATGCGCATCCTGATTCCACTGCTAGTCACCATACACAAATTAAATTCTAATTAAATGCCAGACATCGTCGAAGCATCTGCACAAGAAGCCGACATGTCAACCTGAGACCGAGCACTTCAGTCCAATCAATCGACAGGAAAATCAAAAATTAAACTAAATACCTAACATACGTTGTTTTTATTCATTTCATTCTAAATGGGAAATAAGACTTCAAGCTAAAAAGCTTTGCATTCTCAGTAAAGCAATGGTGTTATTCTTACACGACAGGTATTGCTAGTTGCACTCATAACCTTTCCGCTTTTCGGGACTTCCTACAGGCTAGAAAAATGGGCGGGGAGGTGGTTGGGGATTGGAGTGTTTTAGTCGAGAATCGAACCCTGACCTCCTCCTGTGCGATTGGCAAGCATCCTACCATCAGTGAACCACCAACGCTCACTTAATGTATATATCTATATGTGTTCAAAACAAAATTTCATATTACCCAATTTTAATAAAGTCATAAACTTCAGCATTATCATGTCAAATCACCCACTGCTTAGTTGGGTTGTGTGTGTGTGTGTGTGTTCTTTGATTGACAGAAAGAACTAGGTCAATAGTATATACACTACAGACTAAAGAGGGAACTAGACAACAATACACTTTAAAAGAAAGCCTTAATTAATTTATTCATTTTGTGTACAGATGAACCGGAAGATGAGAGGCAGAGAGAGAGAGAGAGAGGAGAAAACTATACAACAAGGAAAGAAAGGCAGTTGTGGTATGAGAGAAACTCACAAAACGAATACAAAAATGTAAATGCGAAATGTGTCTTATTGAAGTGAATGAAATGGAGGGAAAAAAACAACAACGAACAATTGGACTAGAATCGATTGTTGTTATTATTATTATTATTATTTATGTTTATTTGTTTGTTTTTTAACATTTTTTTTCTATTAAGTATGAAAATAATTGACCTTTCTTTACAAACCAAAATAGGCAAATAAAGTGATATCGATTAGGCTGAGGTGAAACAAAGATTATGCTAGTCTGTTTCCAACACAAATAAACGATGATAATTCCAATAAGATAAGGTGATGTGGTTAGCAGTTCGAGCCATACAACTCAGCTGGTATAGCACACCCAACTACTGATTTGAAGACCAGTTTTAGTTCGATTCTTGCCGTAACCTAGACTTTTACTCCACCTTCACAATCACTACGAATTATATCCATAACTTATTACGAATTAATTAATATCTCTGATTACAGAACTGGGTGACAGAAGCTCGAATCTCCGACAGAGTACCAATGCCTTTGAGGTGACAACTCACCATTACTAGTGAATATGCACAAAATCCAGATCTAACACCTCTTGACGACTGTATTCAACTACCATTATGCCAATTTAGAAAGCATCCAGATGGCGACTCTCCCAGCTTCGTGGACTACGCAGCAAATTTAAATAACAAAATTCGACCAGCGCCAACACTAAGGACAAGAAACAGGAACGATCAATGTACACATTACAGTACTATACAAGAGGTTAGTCGTGAGCCTCGACTAGCTACCTTAGTGGTAGAGACACCCCACTAATAAATTCTAATAAACATAAAGCTTAGCTTCCAGAAGGCAACCTGCCGATAACAACAACGGTTATACCACAGTGACCAATTTTTTCTTCCTTTTTTCTCTTTTCAGTGGAACATACGGATTCAAGCTTGAGCTTTGAATTTTCAGTAGCAGTGTCATGTTTATTCCTTATGGGATCAGGTTGCTAGTCTCCCTTCAAAACTACCACCTTTGCCGGGCCTACCACAGACTAAGCGAGGGTTGAAAACGCGTCGACTGCGAACTGTGAAGCCTGATTGGTGAACATTCCTACCACTGAACCACGGACGCTTAGTGTGACCAGTTAATGTATGCGAACAAAAACCTTTCTCTACACAGAGTACATCAGGTCACATTTAGAATCAACAAACAAGTACACAGCTTATCGAACAAACAATACAACCTTAATTAATACAAGCATTATTCCAGTCACATCTAATGGATGACAGTCAATGAGTCAATGATAAACATTGACATCTCAATGAAAACCTTATAGAAATCAGTTCCCTATAAGAAGATTAATCCTGTATTTTACTGTAAGTAAAAGTTATGTTTTGCGGCGAAACAAACAAACAATCAATAACTGTTGTAAGTAATAAACGCAATGTAACAGAAGGACTTACATTGTTTCCGTGAAAAGTGATGATGGATCACTACGCGAATACTCATTCATACATCCATTTCTAATTTGATTGCTTGCATTACTGTTATTATTATGATTATTATTTTGACTAATATTACTAATTGGATTTGAAGCTGTATTTTCATGATTCATCAATGGGATTCGATGCGATGATGACAAAGGCTCCTTACCATCAACACCACGACCACCACCGCTGCTGCCATTTAATGTAGCCATAGTTAATGCATACAATTCCATAAAACGCGGGTCATTAAACAATTGATTAGCTGTTTGTGAGTCAATACCCATGAATTGTTTTAATAAATTTTGATGTGGAAGTAGTGACGGATTTGAGTTGATATTTGACGACAATGACGATGTCGAGGATACTGATGATGATGATGGTTTTGTTGGTGTTGACTGTAATACTGACGACGACATTGGTTTAAATTGATTGAATTGTGAATTATGATGCATGGAATTTAACATGCCTTCCCGACTACCTGCTCTCGACGCTTTATATGCATGAATTACTGACGATGAAACATCGATGCAAGAATTACGCTGTCCAGATGACATCATCTTGTTCATGTTGAGATTTTGATTTGATGATACCACATGATGACCAGATGACAAGGATGGGGAGGAGGAAGAGGAAGTGGCGGCGGCGGAGCATGAGGAGGACAGTGGTAGTGAAGAATATTTTGACATATTATCATATATTCGATCAATGTTATTATTATTACGACTGGTTAAATTCATCATCATTCCACTTTTAGGCGTTTCATTATTTCTGTTATCTGTAGTAATAGTACACCGGTCTGTATATGTAGCGTATTCATGCTGGGAATGTGTAACAGATGATGATTTATCATAATTATCATAAGCAGATGATGGAGCATCGTATTGTTCGGATCGTCTATGCATTCGTTTCTTATTATTGCTGTTAGTTGGACTAGGTTTTGGTGATTTTATATTAGTTAACTGAGGCTTATAATCATCTGATGTTGAATGAGGTGAGTGGTGCATAACTTCATCGGTTAGAGCAGCCACACTGAATAAATGATGTGGTTTATTATTATTATTGCCACTATTCGATTCAGTTCTTTTACAATTATCTGATAAAGGATTTGTAAGCAATGGTTTAACACCATCAATATCACATAGTTTAGCTGAAAAAACACAAAAACAAATACATACAATTATTGTAATACTATTAGAGTATTAACACAGTGAGGGTTAAAAAAAAACTAGAGAATGACTCATTTTTACTCTTGAATGACTCCAGTTACAATAAGACTTCACTAACTCTCATACAAATGAGAAATGTCAACTGTCAGATTTAATCAGTTAGAGAGATCACTGAAAACTGGGGAGCACTGTGAACACATGTTTCATCCCATTTTGGGACTCCTCATCTGTACACACCCACGAATCTATCAGGAATCATCTAACTTGGGACCTTCAGATTATGATACCAAGTTTGTTGACTATTCAGCCTGCTTGTGCTGGAATTCAGTGATCACCAAGGCCTATCAGCAGCTAACAAATGTAATTAATGCAAACCCCAAAATATGAATAACAACTGGAAATGTAAGCCTTATCAATCTATAACAATTACAAGTACCAATGACACAATGAACATGCCCTTCACACACATATACATACACAATAGATGCTAACTAACTGAGTTGCACTATATAACTTTGCATAGAAGTGCAGCATTTAAAGTTGCCACACTACATGTAGCGCACGAAGGTAGAGAAAAAAAGATTCAGAAGAATTATAGCAGGCAGAAATGTGAGTTAGAAAGAATAGTAACGTCGAAAAAAATACGATGGTTGAGTGGATGTGTGAGCCTACAAAAGGCTGAATTTGTATCTGCGCCATTGAGAAAGATTTTACGCCATATCACCAATAGTCCCTAGACACTGGTTCTTACCATCCCGAGCACTCTCAGCCTGTATCTCCCTATGTGACTCAAACCAACACTCCGAGTCTTCATGAACTAATGTGGAGTTGTGGCTCAGTGGTTTAGGCATTCGACTTCCAACCACGGAGCCACAGATTCGGATCCACCTCCACTTACCGGGGTTTAAGCACACAATATGTGTAGCTCATTACCAACTGTATGGGAGTGCAACTGAATAACACCAAACATCAATCTATCATGGGCTGATGACAGGTTATGGTTTTACCTTCCCTAACGCTTTACCAACCTAATCGAATGTCGGCAAACACTGCTCATCGACGAAGGCGATACCCCATGATATACTCAGCTTCCCGACTACTACAACCTTACGAAATTTACTGATAGATTTCGGTCAAAACCAACACACTAAGACAGATGACACTGGCTACTCCCCTAGAGACAAATTCATGTATTCACTCCAATCCTCTAGAGGAGGTCAAACGTGAGTCCCCCACCCCATCCGAATAGCTCAATGGTAACGTCTCTGAAGGCGGTGATAGACTGACATGGGTCTCAATCACCCACAAGGTTGCAGATACACCTTGTTGACAAGTATCCACAAGCACGAAGCCTAAATCAAACAGGTTTTCTTTCTATTACCTTCAACCACTTCAACCACTAATAATAAATGATCAAAAAGGAAATTTTCGCAACGATTATACGCACATACCGTAGCACACACAGACACACATACACACACACACACAAGCACATTAATTTAGCCAGTATACTACTTAGTCCATATCGAAATTAAATTTTTAAAAATAATTCTAGAGCATAGTTAGAATAGCCTATATGAAGAAAAGTCATACAAAGGTATTCAGTGTTGGTTTGTAGGGATTTGATTGGTTACAGGATTTTCATCATGAGCTGACATTAGTCAGAGAACCATTGGAAAACCTGCTGGGAGTACTGGACGGCCAGTTGTTTCGTCCTAGTTTGGGACTCTTCATCAGCACTCATCCACCGCCAGGGTTCGAACCCAGGACCTTGGTTACAAGGTGAGCTAGCTCGTAGACCATTAAGCCACTGGGACCCAAACCAGTGGCCAGCCGATGAATTCTAACTTCTGCGAATTCACAACATAGCGCGACCACCAGCCAATGCCTTCGGCGAGTATTTGTCCTCACACCCGACCTGCTGCACCCTACTGGTCACGATTTTTAACTAAAACCCAGGTAACTACCATAAGGTGCTGGGTTCGGAAACCGGTGGGTACGTACTGTTGAAGAGTCCCAAACTAGGCTGACGAAACAGTTGTCCAGTACTCTCAGTTGGTTTTCCAATGGTTCTCTAACTAATGCCAGCTCATGATGAAATCCTGTAATCATACAAAGGTAGTAAGTATTTTAAGAGAAGACAATTATCATCTTTTTATGTTACGTTGATTAGTATTTTTTCTGTAATCAATATAGATAAACAAATAATCAACCACTAAATGAATAAAACAAGAAGATGGAAAGTTTTCTTTTCCTGAAAAAGTTAAATAAATAAATGTTTACATTTTCTTCCGCCGATAATAAACAAAAGGAAACAATAAAGAGACGAACAAATAAACAATTTTACTGAAAACAGACAGAATAATGATGGGAGAGAGAGGGTGCTGGGGGTGGAGGGTAAAGTAATACAATACAATGTAAGTTATAAGCAGAAACTGTGGCTGCCTGACTGACTGATTGGCTGATTGAACAACAAAGCAACTTACAAATTTCGGACAGAGATGAATGAATCAGTTTCACGTTACGGCATATTTTAAAATGAAAAAAACATCTCTAGCTTAGTAAAGAGACTTTTTTTCAGCAATTTCACCTCTTTTTTAGCTGTACAATCTCATCTATGTATGATGTTTTTGTTCACAGAACAGGATACTAACCCAAGAGATAAGTTGTCATAGGCAGGAAGAGAAATCTCACCCGTTCTCTATGCCCAGAACTTGGAACATTTTCTCTGTAGATACGATCGAGATAAAAATAAAAACAGTTGATATTCTAGAAGGTGTATTGACAGAAACGTCAAAAAAGAAACCATCCCCAGCCAAATTGCAGTGCCAAAGAAGACTCCATTTATGAGTTTGGCTTTCAAAGGTGACAATAATTAAAAGTCGTTTATCTAAATGTATTAAATGCTCTTTTTATGCAGCTAACTTACATTTAGTAATTACCAGCCGAAATATGATTCCACAATTAGTCAAGTGTAAACTACCGCTTATGTCCATCTCTATGTACATATACTCACTCATATGATTGTATGGATCTGATTACATTCGACGATGTAAGCGTGTTGTCCGTAAACGAGTAGCTGAACACTACCACCAGGTTTGGTTAATGAAAGGTGTGCAAACGACGACAAGGTCTTAATCTGTGAACACCTTCTGGAGTTAGGTCATTCAGTCCCAAGCGATTTATTACATAAAGTTATCGATAGGACCAAAACCAACCACTCCAAAAGCTAAAGATTTCTGCATCATGCATAGCAGAGGCTCTCTAGCTATACATGGACAAAAACATAAATTATGTGTTCAAAAACGTTTTGTCAAATCCCTTGCTTTACCTTAGTCATAGTAATTAATTTTCTTTGATTTTAATCTATTTTACCACTTGAATTCATTCCACTTCATCGTCATCTTCGCTGTCTTTACTGTTATTATATCACACTGTTAATTTTTAGACACTTGACCTACAGTTTTAAAATCTTTATACCAGTTCACTTATTCAATAATGTTTAAGAGTTTGGTTCAACTCTACTACTTTAATTATGTTTATTCTTATCATATGAGTAATTATTGACAGAGCAATTTCTAGTGCCACTTAATGCCTTTTCCATAATAATAAATACGATTTTACAGCTTGAAAATGAAGTCGTTGAAAAGAAACATTTTCTTTTCACCGAACAAAAACTGTGTTTTACCCTATCAGCAATATAAACTGTGAATAGGGGTGACAGATTATGTGATGAGATAAATTATTATTATTGTATAGATGGACTGTCATAAGGGTGGAACATATGAACAAAAGAAGTGAGATGTTGCATAAGAATGGCATGGAGGATTTCATCATAAGCTGACATCAGTTAGAGAACTACTGGAAAACCTGAGAGTACTGGACAGCTGTTTCGTCAGCCTAGTTTGGGACTCTTCACTAGTACGCATCCTCCGGGGCTCGAACCCAGATCTTCTGGTTACAAGGCAAGCCAGTTCGTAGACCATTAAGCCACTGGGACCCAATCCAATGTCCAGCCGATGAGTTATAACTTCTTCCAATTCAAGACATAGTGCGAGCATTTCGCAATGTCTTCTTCGATGAGCTACCCCCTCATCTTCAACCTGCTCTACCCTACTGGTCACAGCTTCCCAAACTAGGACGAAACAGCTGTCCAGTACTCTCAGTTGGTTTTCCAGTGGTTCTCTAACTGATATCAGCTCATGATGAAATCCTCCATGCAATCAAGCAAAAATCCCTACAAACCAATACCTGAAAATTACATAAGAATTCCTGCCAGGTGATCTACATACTCCTGTATAATTCAAGACGTCGTCGGCAGGCACTATGCTTTCCTTATTACATAAGTTTATTTGATGAAATAATACAACACACCATTAATAACTGGATGACGTTGTGAACATAAATTATTGTTGCTCATAATCATTTCAATTTTAGTCATACAGTTTCACAATTTTTCTTATACATTCTTTCTTTCTTCCTCTCTTTCTGTCTGTTTCTACAACTTCCCTTTGTTGTTTGTTGCCACTTTACATATCTCCAGTATAGGCGGAGTTGCGTCATTCCAACTGCACGATAAACAATCGATGAACAAAGTTTCAGTGATTGACCTCCCTCTCTCTCCACCCACCTATATAACTTTTTAATACTCTCACCCTGTTCCACCCACCCTATTTTGTGATAACATCCAAGTGAATGCAATGCAACGACTGAACTTTTTCCAGGTTATTTAACTTAACAAGATCAATCACTACAGGTCTAGCTGGTTTTCACGCCTCAAAAATCTGCTTCACCTGCCCTACTAGTTCGACCTGTACAATTGACCTCACTAACAGTCATTACATGGTATTTGTTAAATTATACTCTTCTTCTTAATTGGATCTTACAAGTCCTTAAGCCAACAAAGTTTATGACTGAGATAGTTGGTTGGTTGGTTTAAATGCCACCCTAATTCCAGTCTCATCAAGAATCTTACATAAGGCCTCTTGACGTCCCTTCCTTATACGGCAGTGTTACAGAGGCTTGCAATTCTATAATATTTTAATTTTTTTATTTTAGCCATTTTCATTACTAATCTTATTTTTTCTATAAGTCCTCATACATTTCTGGATAAATGTTGCTACGTCTATTTCGCGGATACGGAAAGTGGCAACAAAAAAGAAGTGGAAGAGAGGGAGAGAGAGGGAGAAAATCAATATATAAAGCAAATCATGAAGTCCTGTAACTAATCGACATGATTATGAGCAATCAATTCTGCTAGAAGCGTCATCCAGTTATTAACACTGCATCACTCACTGTATGACTATTATTATTATTATTTCCTTTAATTCCTAGAGGAACATAGGGCTTCAGCCGCCCAAGTCTGCATTGCGTTCGGTTCTCTGCCAACGTTTTCACCCCGCTCCAAGTCTGCCACTGTGTCCAAGTTCTACACTTACATTAACTTTGCTTTCCTCTATCACTTAAATATACCTATTATAATAGTTAGAGAACACAATCTGAAGAAATATATATACATTTACGATAATTTCTCATCAGATTTTAAAACCCTACATAATAAAATTGTTAAGCATAGGTATCTGATGTCGATTTAGTCAATAGAATTACTGTGCATTTATATATTTAACTGTTCTTATTATGGAAATAGTTACATAGGTAAGCCCACCACCACCTTCATGTGCACTGTCCAGCGTGGTTAGATACAGAACTTGTAAGATCAGCCAGGAGTTTCATATTCATAAAGTTAGACTGACAGTAATTCAGTTCTTTGCCATTCTATACAAGGTGCCGACCTTAATTCCCTAGGTTTGTACACCTTTGATTGCCAAGCATAACTGAGGCAGGCAGTCATCATTAAGAAAATATTTAAACCGAATCTGTGTGTTCAGACAAATTTTCTTCTCCGACACACACATTCCTCTCCCATTGGGTATGAAACCCAATGACACCGGATAATCATAACTATTAACTTGATTTATGACTGTTATCTTTATTTTCATTATCATTTGATCCCTACTGTGTTATAACTGCGCCTTCTAATCTTGGTTTCATGATTTATTATAAAAAATAATAATAAACGCTCAAATATCTAATCACTAGGACATAATATATATACATATATTTATTTTTCCTCTCTACACGCCTACAAACGTACACATTCTATGTACACATATTCAAAACAATTGACTACTTAGATTATATAAACATTGGATTTATCCTTGTTATCATTATTATTATTACGACCAGCTTGGTTATTATCTACTACTATTTCTCAGCTAACTGAACTTCAATTCTCTTAGCTAGATTAGTTTCTAATGTCTGTGAATGATAAAATTTTACTGTGTAATTATAAGGCCTGATTAGAAGTTACAGAAAATACGCAATTGTTTAGATTGTATTCTCTAACTACCTACAACTATTATTATTATCGCTTTCGCTTCTAACTGGGACATAGGACTTCAACAGCACATTTCTACATTTTACTCTGTTTTCTGATATCTTTTTCAGCTGACTTTAAAACTGCCTATGAGCTCTCATATCGTCCTCACACGATCTCCACAATAGCGCACTTGGAAGCCCAACTCCTCCTTTCCCATCCAGATTCTTTTCCAAGGTCTGATGAGCGGTGTTACTTAAAAGTTTCGTCAGCATGTCCAATCCACCTCAATTTTCTTCTGCATATTCGTTGGGCAATGAATCCATTATTGCTAGCACTTTATTAAGAGCAAAGGCGGCATCCCACCTAGTTTACTAGCTGATCCTAAGCTCCGAAAAAAGAGTGAAAGTTGGAAGTGAGGCTAGCAAACCTACCCAGGGAAATCAACCCAATCACAAAATAACTAATCATTCTCAATTTTAAGTCTTCTTCAGCATCAATTCTTAATCATAACAATTATTATTATCATTGTGTTGACTTTTATTTTCACAATTATATTCCTTATTTCTACCAAAATAAAAAAAGATAAATCAAGAGAAAAACACACATACACACACGATCACTTATTCATAATCCCAAAAATACGCGTGCACACACACGCACACATGAAAGATGAAGTTTTCTTACACTGATATAAAGAAGCCTTATCTAGACTAGTTTTCAACTTTCAATCGAAAAATTGTAACTGATTGATTACTCTGTTGTTATCATTATTATTACTATTATTATCGTCATCACAAAAAGAACAAACAAAACGATCTTATTTATACAAAATGCGACAGACAGACAATGAATGAATGGATGAAGGAATGAGTGCGTGAGCTATCGTGTACAAGATGTTATCGTTCTCTCCCCTCCCCTCCGTAAACTTCTTTCTTTTTCCACTCTCGTTATTTATTTCAACAAATAATTGTAGACATTTTCTTTCAGTGTATGACATAAGTATTACGTAATTGACTGTATGATTTCTTCAGATTGTATTGACTGCAATACAAATGTCTTTATTGCTAAGACTATGAGGTCATAATTTGTGTGGGAAATGGTATATTTGTAGTCAGTTTCAAGGATTTTAAAACGGATCAACGCCATGGTTAACTTGACACAACAGAAAGATTTCATCAGTCAAAAAGGTTTAGTACTGTTGTTTATTAATGACTGGAGACTGTTAGTGAGAGGGCTGAAAAATCGTTTGTAAGGGTACAGATATATTGATTCATTGTTATCACCTGCTGTCCATTGAAGCTAGATATGTCGACCATACTCAACTCAGTGCGTTTGCCATTTATTCATCAAACGTATTGTCGAAATATTTACCTTCAGGGTTTATTGAGAGGAGCGATCCTCCCTGTCTTGTATCTCAAGTGAATCATTTTGATGTTATCTTTTGAATAGGGTGATTTAATTGTTAAGCCTTCCCTTCTACAGAACCCCAACTGATAGCATAGGGATCGGGCTTGTATATCTCAATGATCCAAATAACTACACTGATTGAAACAAATGTTCGTGTATGTCATACCATATCAGAAAGATTGCTTACAGGGCGGTTAGACCAAACGGAGTTACACCTACACTTGGATGTCTGGAGGTTAAGTCCCACCGCTGGTGAATAGATGTTTGCCTCAGACGACCATCAGATCAGCTGTGATGCATCTATTCACTGGGTAGGGAGGGAGATTTGGAAAAGATCGGTCCCAAAAATTGTACGTGTCCTAGAAGATTGTCTTTAAGACTCTCTCGTCAAGCAACACTTATGATCTTCTAGACAACATCTTCAGCCCTAACTTCATTTTGAAGGAAAGTGAGAGCATAGAAATAAAATCATCCAGCTTAGGGAACACAAGAATTCTATACAAACATCACCTTATGTAATGTGTACAACACATAATTGATAAAGTAATTCAAAATACATGTTCCAAAGAGGTGAAAGTATGAGAATCGGAGGTCAAACATTAACTTAATATGATCCTGTTTAACATGAAGTACATCAATCAAGGGGGTAATATGAGTTGAAAAATTATTTTTAGAAAAAAACAAACATAAATCTTTTCAAGGCTACACAAATTGAAAGTGATTTTATGACTTGATTAGAGGCTATTTATCATGTTTGTCACCTCAAAATATTATTGTGTAATTATATTAATTAACTTGGTGCAAATTTCAGCTAAGCTACTATCCATCCTACTACTGAAACATTGATAAGAAAATAGACTACTACTGGATTAACTTTGTCGAACTTAACTAATGTGAAACACTTTGACTAATGTCATCTTGTTGTTAAAAGCTACACAACAGCCGGAAAAATTACGCCTGGGTTACATATATGTTGACGCTAACCTGTAAGGTGTATTCAACATCTTAAGTGACGTCACATAATGAGCTAATTAGAAGGTACACGTAAACTCTTACATCAAACAATAACTATCTGCTAATTATACATTTCTATTTGACCCTGTTAAAGTTACATCAACAAATTAAGGTATTTCACGCATTTTTCTAATAGATCAAAAGATCCGATCAAAAATTAATTTGATAAGAAATCATTTCAAAGAGTGAGTGAGTGAAACAACTGTCAATCTTCTTTCCATAAGCGAAAAAAACGTGATACTCTGTGTTAAGATTTAGAAAATCAGGCTCTTTATGGAGTGATTGACTGATACACACACACACACAGACAACCAAGTTTTTATGTAGGCAAAAAAGAAAAGACGAAGACAAAGATACAATCATGCTTACCATATGTTGTCTTGTCAATTTTTTCCGGGGGAACACACTCCATCTAAAATAAGCACGGTATACAAAAACAAACCCATAATAAACAAGTTGAAAAGATAACAGAAACGTAATAAACGAACCAGATAATTATGAAATATATACAAAAACATTTCTATGCTATTCTCGATACCTAACGCATAACAACAGAATAACAGGGTGGTACACTCCCCTTTATCTACTGACGCAGTAAGCGTATGGTAGTATGATTATTAACACGTCTAAATGAAGACGAAGCTTACCATGCTCTTGGTTACATTGAAGCATTTAAGGAAATGGCCATCTATGGAATCTGAAAGCAACGTGAACGATGAACAACGGCGTTCTCACCAACATTAACAATGAAAATGTGTAACTTCTTCTGATGACGTATAGAGGGCGGGTGTACTGCTCATCAGTCCACTCCGTCCTCCTTTATGGCTGTGAGACCTGGCCACTGAGAGTGGAAGACACGAAAAGATTAGCTGTCTTTGATCATAGGTGTCTGCGTTCTATCTCCTGTGTGAAGTGGCATAATAAGGTGAGCAATATTCAGGTTAGGCGTCGAGTGCTAGGTAAGAAGAAGAAATCAATCGACGAGGTTGTGAATTTACATCGACTGAGATGGTTAGAACATGCGTTACGTACGCTTAGTCATCGCCTTCCTCGACGGGCAATGTTAGCTGATATAGGGTCAGGCTGGAAAAGACTAGCGGCGGTCAAACAAAAACATGGCACCAGTCAATGAAATCTACAACAGTTAGTCTAAGCCAGCCACGTAGGAAGTTGTAGACTGGCTTCCTGGTTGGGGTCCTTGGGACGGTAAAAACAAATGGTTGGAAACAATCGGTGATATGGCTCAAAATCGTTCTCAATGGCTAGCGTAGATGCATCCACTCCTTGTGATTTATGATTTCCAATGAAACTGTTTTGTTCTTCGTTATTACTATTCCTTTGTCTCACATCTCTGTTTACTGTCTCTAATATGCATTTCTTCTACTTTCTTCTCTTGCTTTGTGTGCTACATGGAGGGAGTGTGGCGAATTGAACTCCCGCACATATGTGCAAAGTTCTATGTCGAAAATAGACAATCTTTCCGGTTGAGCTATGGACCAGATTTTACAGCCGACAAATGATCTATAGATGTATGAAGGATAAACTGCCGCTCTAGGCCACTGATATGTGTTTATAAATACTCCTGCTCCTGTGGAGCTAGTTATATTCGTCGCCAGCCGATGAATTCTAACTTCTGCCAATTCATGACATAGTGCGACCACTTCACAATGTCTTCTTCAGTGAGTTACTACCTCACCTTTAACCTGATGTATCCTACGGGTCACGGCTTCCCAAGAGAACCCCACTTTAACCACCCGAATAGGGCCAGTCTCTAGTGAGCATCAGAGTAGTGGTTTTGTAGGGATTTTGTTTGAATGATTTGTTTGGTTTTCTTCTTCTTTCTTACCTTCCAAATGCATCACATAAGGCTTTAAGTGTGGGGGTTTTGAAGTGTCAATACCGATGGTGTTGTTATAACTCTCCTAACTTAAGCTTCCTACCGTTCTGGGCTTACAGACGACTTATGAACTAGGCGAGGTTTAGGAATACGCTGGCAAGGAATCGAACCCTAACACTCTACCAGTGAACCACTGACGAAGGGAAAGAAAAGTGTTTGATTTCGAAAACATAGAAATATGAGCACTAGGTGACAGACAGACATAATATAACTCTTAACAACCGTGTATGCACTGAATGAATGCAAACAATCATTGGGGCTGATAACTCTCCTGTTCAACTGTCAAAATTCAGTAGGTAGAGTATAACAGTTGAAACCTATTCACCCATAAGTTAACAATCAAGTATCGTAACTAATTAAAAATATAAGTAATAATTACATTTCCAGGTTAATAACTGTCTACACTAAATGGGATATGTTATAAAATAACAGACAACCACGGGGAAGATACTGTTGTATATATATCAGGAAAAAGTGAAATGTCACTTGGCGTCTATGCAATGCACTAGGATCACCGAACTTTATGTCATTTACTCTAGTTTATTTATCACTTATCCAGTATACTGAAATTCTTAATAGTCTTGGGACAAAAAGAAAAGACATACTGACTTATAAACTCCCTCAACAATATACTTGCCCACCACCCAACAACTAATAGCTAGAGATAAACCAAAAAATACTGACAAAACCATATAGGAAAAGCAGAAAATATATAGGACTAATCTGTTTGAAAAGTTTTCAAACTTTCAAAATTTACTAAATAAGGGAAAAAAATTCTTACAGAAAGAACAAAATGACATCATGGTGTCGTGTAATATACATTAATACATAGATTTTCGAATTTGCAACAATTTAGAAACAACTAGAAAAAAATACCACACGAAAAAGACATCAACCTAAGTCAAGAGGTAACATCAGCTAGATAACCACTAAAAGCCAGGAAGTACTGAATAGCTGTTTCGTCCTAGTTTGGGATACTACAGCACTACGACGCGGCAACGACCTCACAAAGGACGAAATCTAATGACCCATCAATTCTAATTGTCGCCGATTCATGATGTATGACCCGTGATCACGCGATCAATGAGACTCTATTCTCTCCCTGAATTGGTGAAACCTTCCTTACTGGTCACGAATTTTCACTGTAGTCAGTCACGAGTGATCAGTAGCAGTCGTGAATTGGCAGAAGTTAGAATTCATCGACCGGCCATTAAATCGGGTCCTAGTGGCTTACTGGTCTACGAGCTAGCTCGCCTTGTAACCTCAAGACCCTGGGTTCGAACCCCGAAATGCGGGTGCGTATTACTGCAGAGTCCCAAACTAGGACGGAAGAGCTGTCCAGTACTCCCAGGTTTTCCAATGGTTCTCTAACTGATGTCAGCTCATGATGACATCCTGTGATCAGTAGCTTAATTTTCAAATGTTGGTTTGCGCGAGTTAAATCACCAACAGACTTCAGCTAGAGGACCACTGAAAGCCCAGAAGTACTGGATAGCTGTTTTTTCCTAGTTTTCGTTCCCCGGTGAGGTCATGAGCACGTACTACCAAAGAGGCCCAAACTAGGATAAAAAAACTTTCTAGTACTCCTTGGTTTTCATTGGTTCTCCGTCGTGAATTATTTAGTGGTCTCACTTGAAACTAATCAAGTTCCATCAGATAAACACTTATAGGAAGAAAGAGCAATCTAGGGGTGTGAAACTTTTATGTTACAGGATAATACAAAATATTCTGTAGTCTACAGTGTGAATATGCACGACATTTCATAACTCAAGATGTAATCTGACTGATACTCTAACAGGATGGATATTAAGGCCCACTGGCTTTCGGCCAATAGGTCGCAGGTTCGAATCCCACACAACATACTTTAGTTTGAGCAAATCTGTATTATCATCAGTCCTTAAACAACAAGTATACGTCAAAGTCTCATACATAAAAAACCTACTCTGAGTTATTAATTCTTAACTAAATATAATTTAGTCTTAAGGTGATCCCATACTGTTGCTTGGATAGTAGCGTGAGATAACGGTTGGAATGTCCACCACCCTACCCTCGCCTCCCCCCTACATTCTTAAATACCAAGTAAACTAGCTAAGCTCCTTTTGTAGGATCAAAATACTTTTACAGAATAGGTTAACTATCACAATCGTTTATAGGATTTCATCGTGAGCTGACATCAGTTAGAGAACCATTGGAAAACCTGGGAGTACTGGACGGTCCTGGATTCGAATCCCGATGGATGCGTACTTATGAAGAGTCCCAAACTAGGCTGACGAAACAGCTGTCCAGTACTCCCAGTCGGCCTTCCAATGGTTCTCTAACTAATGTCAGCTCATGATGAAATCTTGTAACCAATCAACCAAATACCTACAAACCAACACTTAAATATCACAATTGTATTTATTGTTGTACCTCAGTGGTTCAACGGCAGAATGCTCCCTAACCAGTTGGGAGCTCTGAGCTCCATCTACTGGCCGATGTATTCCTACACCTCAACCTAACCAGGCGGTAGGTAGAGGGACAGTTAGATAGTGTATGAGGCTAGCAGCAGTGCCACCACTACCACCAAATGGAACTTCAAAGAGGCTGAAGTCCTGTGTTACACTCGGAAGACAACAGAGAGAGAGAGAGGAAATACGTTAACAACGTAATAAATTACCTTTATTTGAGAATTCCATACTCCTGGTGATGACGATGATAACGCCGACGATGATGATGATGTAATATTCATCAGCGTCATGTCAGCATGATGATTCAATGAATTCATTGAAGAATATTCAGTTAACTGGATATTACTGTCATTATCCTCATCAACACCATTATTACTATTATTATTATTATTTGATCTGTTTTGATTTGTTTTATTATATGATGTAATCGACTGAGGAGATAACGTAGATGTTGTTGATACTGATGAATTGGGTAGAGAAGGCATTGATGATGACATTGATGTAATAGTTGTAAAATAATATGAACTATAATTTGGTAATGATTCATTCATACATTGGACAGCTGAATGATTTAATTTTTCATTAGAATTCATATTATTCATTATTTCATTGGAATAATTATTATGACGACAGTGATGATGATTACTCGCATTATTAGTATTATTACTACTATTAATAATACTATTATTACATGAATAGATTGGAGATAAATGAGAATAATTGGTAGTATTATTTGTATTAATCTCAGTAGTACTTGTAGTCATAGTAGTAATACCAGCAACAGTAATAATACTACTATTATTATTACTATTATTAATTCTATGCTTGATACTTGTATTATTTTTCGGTGTTAAATGAACTGATCCCGGAAGATGATTATTCTCGTAATGAGTATTATACGAGTAAATAGGATGGTGGTCTGGATGCTCCTGTTGTTGGTGGTGTTGCTTCTTCGACGAATGATGACTATGTCGATTGTAATGACGATGGTGATAATGTCGTAACAGATCAGTCGAGGTAGATGTTGGTGACTAGAAAAGTAAAAGAGGAAATACAATTAAAGAAAATGGTCACACTGTCAAGTATTATACTCTCAAAATGAATAAAAAAGAGCAAAATTTGAATGGTTAGAGGCAGTCTACAGAATGCATTGGACTTTATGTTTTTTTTACTTGTTAGCACGCTTGATGCAGGCATCAGTTCTTATGAAAGTGTGAAGTACAACTTGCTAACAAGTGGCAGCAAATGAGCACAAAAAACATATCCAGAGCTTCGTGTTCATTGTCTCCAACCACCGCAATAGCAAGTTACCGAAATTGCTCACCACACTATGAACATGACTGATAAAAGCTACATAGCTCTAACACTAAACGCCAAATAGACGACACTGGTTAGTCCCTGCACGTATTAGTCAGTAGTGTATTACATTTACAAATCAGTTATCTAACAAAGTGCAGTGATACTACTTCATTACCCTTGCACTTTCGTATATGGTATGGAACGACGTTTGAACCCATGACCTGGATATCGGAAGTCAAACGCCCTGGCCACTGAACTTCAACCAATATTAGAGAAAACACAAATCCAACGTTCTATGACCGCTTGTACCAAAATAAAATATAAACAGTCTAAAATCTGACTATAGGCCATTAATGCTACTGACATAATGGGTCATGCATGATTGGAGGTGATAAGTGAAAGGCTTGGGTTGCAATTAAATTCGAAATTGCCTGTGAACTATGACTACTAACGAATGTATGATGTGGATCCATCATCGTTTCGTCTACCAGAGTTTAGGCGACCACAGAGCATCATCATCAACCCTCAGATAATAAATGTGGCGAATTGTCAAAGGCGAATAATACCTGGAGAGTAATATACATACACACATTCATGACCAGTTTAACCGTCTTCAAAATTTTGCACTGGGGCTCTTAATTTCACTTCACTCATTTAGAGTTTAATCAATCAACTATCTAGAGGGAAATCTGAATCCTGCATAATTCAGATGATTTCCAGAAGAAATATGAAGTAAGAAAGAAGGATCATGTAAGTAAATTAAGCGGGGTATGAAACCACCACAAATACCACAACTATTCCTACTACTGTAACGGTAGAAGACAAGAGACTGGGTAAAACGATGTGTTCTTTAGGGCGGGCGGGGTGGGGCGGGGAATTCGGTATCTCCACATAGCGAAATTATGTACACCTTATCTGCAAATTATCATTTGCATAGATCCCCCGTGTTATGCTATTTCTGCCCTTCCATCATTTTGTGTTTCTTCTTAGTCTTCTTCTAGTGTTTTCCATGTTTTGTTTTGCTCTAACGCTGAATCATTAGCTCTCTTTGATGTCGAACCCGTCTGTCTGCTATTTGATATTTTTTTCGCCGATAAACTTCTCTTTATATACTACTAATGACAGATCTTATCAGTAGCACACATCACACACTACTACTAACAGTACCACTTATATTATCATCACAATTATTAGTGCATTGTCGTTATCTTGAAACATAAATGTGTAAAACATGTATAATAATAATAATAATAAGGCTAAACGACACAGTTATCACATATGCCATACATAATAACTGAATACGTAAACAGACGCATAGATACCTGTGTGTGTGTGTGTGTGTGGATGTGTATCTACTTGGAATTATCATATTAGTTAGACAAAGTAGAAAAATAAGCTGTCAAAAAGCAATACAACACGCCAAAACATGTTTCAATATTGAATACAGAAAAATGAGAATATATATATATATATATATATATATATATATATATATATATATATATATATATATAAATTCAATGAATCCTCATTGTTCTTCATGTAATTATTCTATCCACTGAACATTTCTTTTCTTTCCTATAATATTTCCTTTTTCTCTTTATGTATTATGGTAACCAGAAGTGGTGCGCTTTCGTGCACTAAAAATTCACTTCCGTCTACCTGCACTTGATCATCATAGACATGAACCATCGTGTTATGCTGTTTAGATTCCAAATGCACCTAGCATTTAATAATCAGCAATATGGATTGTTAGATTTTCATCACTAGCCAACATCAATTAGAGAGATCATTGAAGATCAGGGATCACTGGACAGCTGTTTCGTCCTAGTTCGGGACTCTTCAGAAATACGCGCCCACAACCCCGCCAGGGATCGAATGCGGGAACTTCAAGTTACAAGACCAACCTCATTGACCATCCCAACCACTTCATCTGAAATTCAAAGAATCCTGAATTCTAACTCTGTCAACTTGTGATACAGCGCTCACCTCACCAATGCCAACGATGTGGAGTGTTTGTTTACTTCACCTTGACATGGTGGAGAGCGCCACTAGTCATAAATTCCTACTGCAGCTTCAAGAAATCCATCCAGTGAGCTAGCGATTAACATCGATTGAGACTATAGGATTTATTTATTTATTTACTTTCCTTACAATCTTAGACGAGTCAATGTCACTATTTGTTATTCTTAGACTTTATCTACTATGTTTGTCTGAATATTTGTTTGTTTAAATCATGATGTGTTTTCATTAACCTTGTTATCAAAGATCGCTTCAATTTTTCATTTTGGTTATTTATAGAACTTTTATTATTAGTATTACTAATTTCACAATTTATATGTACAAATCACGCCATAATTATTGGCTTATATTTAATATTTATTTGTAAAGTTATGCATATTAAAGTAAAGTCTGATGATATAATATATCTGATTTAAAAACAATGCTGAACAAGAGAAGTAAAGAATAGGTACCAAGGCCAAATGACCCTTAAGTGACCAATCAAATCGGTCAAAATTACAAAAGGATGGTTTTCATAGTCTTCGTTGTAAGTTTCACTCTGGTTTAAGACTAGGGTTAGAGTCGCAGTAAGGTTAGGATGAAACTTGCGCAGAAGATTATGGCCAGCATTCGTCTGAAATGTTAAACTTTGTTGCTACCATCGCCAGAATACATTGAACATAAAGTCAATCATTCATCAGGATTAATACATTCTAAAACTGGTACTCATACAAATTCGACTGAAGGATTTTGGGCGTATATATAATATGCTATAAACATACTTTTTGCACTAAAATGCTTTATTTCACCTAGAAGAATATGACTGGTTGGCCCAAGGTCATTCGACAGTGGTATGTATTCTTTACTGTTGCTCAATATTGCTCCTTTATAGGTAATGTTCTATTGTTAAGTAGTTGAAAGCAATCAGCAAAATAACTCTCCATTCATTGAAGAGCTCCATATTTCTAGATAAATGCTAAGAATGATGAAGTCAAACAAAGCCTGGCTACCTCCTCTGACTCACCCTGGTCACTCAACGTCTCTAGATCTAAGGTAAACCGCAATCCTTAAAACAGTAGTAGGTGACCAAATAAACTTAACTACCATGAGTACAATGAAACAATACAGAGTAGTAGTCCAATCTGCTATAAACAAACACACATACACAAAAATTAACAACCAGAATTACGCACAACAAATGAAAACAAAATTAAGTTTGAATCCATATTTTCATGCTACAGACACACGTATTTTGCTTCTTAAAATAAATATGTTTACAAAACAAACAAAGTTGAAAATCAGAACAATTTCACACAATGAGCTATGCTACTACTTTACACTTAAGGTAAGGTTAAGCAGGTCGTTCAATAGGGTGTACGGTGGAGGTGTCACCTTTCCAAACATCTAAAACAATCAGTCCCTTTAATAAGTTTTATATAATGTTATTAGAAAAACGGAGATTATTTGAAGAATTGATATGAATCACAAGATTGATATGACAGAACAGCTTCCAAGATGATTTTTTTAAACAGTTAAGAAGGTGTGTGACTGAAATACACATAGACCATAGTTATTTGTCAACTTAAGTCCCTTTCCCCTCTTCAATATGTGTACAAAAACAATTTAATTATTACTCTAAACCTATAATTGGTAATCTTTATTTGATGATTATACTAATAAATGTAGCGTTAATTATTTTTATTACTCTTATCCTTAAATCCTTTATAACTTTATTTATTTAAATTGGTCTTTTATGCTTTATATAAACTACTGACTTGACAAATCAATGTCTTAAATTGTTGGTTTGTAGGGATTTGATTGGTTTCAGGATTTCATCATGAGCTGACATTAGTTAGAGAACCATTGGAAAACCTGGGAGTACTGGACAGCTGTTTCGTCAGCCTAGTTTGGGACTCTTATCAGTACGCACCCATCGGGATTCGAACTCAGGACCTTCCGGTTACAAGGCGAGCTCGTATACAATTGTAACCGGAAAGTCCTGAATTCGAATCCCGATGGGTGCGTACTGATGAAGAGTCACAAACTAGGCTGACGAAACAGCTGTCCAGTACTCCCAGGTTTTCCAATGGTTCTCTAACTAATGTCAGCTCATGATGAAATCCTGAAATCAATGTCTAGTCACATTATTTAAATTGTATTGAGCCAACACATCACATTTTCCATAGGGACTTTGTCTTCTATCAACACTACCCATTTTTTTTAGTTTGATCACAGACTGATTTCAGTTAAAGATCCACTGAAAACCAACCACAGGGGGTACTGGACAGCTCTTTCATCCCAGTTTGGGAATCATAGGCAGTACGCATCCATCACCAGGGTTCAAATCATGGACTTTTGGGTTACAAGGCAAGCTCGTACACAATTCAGCCGCTGGGAACCGATTCAACGACTAGCCCATGAATTCGAACTTCTACCAATTTGTGATTTAGCGCGACCACCAACCAATGTCATTAATGGGAAATCCATCCTCACTTCTGACTGGATGGAGCTCACTGGTCACAACTTCTCACTAGAACTCCAGGAAACTCCGTCCTGTCACAAGGGACTAGACAGCATCACTATTCATTACCTAGAAAGCAGCTTTTACTATATACATATATATATTTCAAAAGCTGCGTAATCGTATTTATATTTGCCAAAAGTGTATAGTGGCCTGTTACTGAGTAATACGGTATGTGTGTGTGACATGACTGGTACACCTACTCAGAAG